CTTTTCTTTGTCTTTATTTCCTTTGTTTCGATTTGTCTATTAGTTCAACTTAGCTATAGTATTCTTTTAGTTTAATTTTTTAGTATTTAATAATATAAATTTCAATTGTTGATCATCTTGGATAGCAGGTTAGTTATAAATTACGATAATACTGTTTAACGCCAATCCCTGTGAATACGATATTTTACTATGCTATATTTTTTATTAGCGAGCATAATTTTGAGCGGTATTTTGCGCTTGTCAATAGAGCAAGAAAACTAATTTGGTACCTATTCATTGCTCCAATCATCAATGGCGGAGATGTCCTTTAATTTAGAAAGGAGTGTCATATATATGACATTGCTTCGAAAAATTTCTTTCTTACGTATAAGTGGTCTTAAATAAGACATAATATTTGTGTGATTATAAAATTTTTGAAATTTGTGGTATGAAATATATCATAACAGTTGTGTGGCTATAAATATTTCTTATTATGAAAATATTGAAAGTGCCAATCTTTTTAAAACAAACTAATAAGGAAATAATGTCAGTTTTCTTGTAACAGAAACATTGTGGAATAAATAGTGAAGTGTCAATTTAAAATATGACGTAGTCACTTGTTTTTTTCGCTTTCCCCAATGTGTTACATTGGTATTTGGGCCATGACTAATTTAAATTTGCAACGGGTAAAGTCTATTATAGAGGGAAACATTCGCTACACGATTTTTTTTATTCTTCGTACTCGAGCCTAACGCCTTTAGTTAAGGGTAGAAGTATCTCATTATTGACAATGCATGTTTAATACTAACAATCATGGATGTTAGATAAAGCAACCAATACTTAAAATGTCAGTAGTCATTAATCAAAGGACAACAACGTCTTCTGACTGAGAGACCTAACAATCCACACGGTTGACTTTGAATCTCCAATTTGAAATTAAACAAATCAGACTAACAGGTTTGACAACAAACAAAACCCTTTTGTTTTCAATTCCAAGAATCTCCAGAGATTCTACCGACGTGCTTCATTGTCATTCCCATCTGGAAGTGGAAACAAGGCACCTAATTAATCAAGAATGGGAAGGCTGGAATGGATTTCTTTAATTAAGATAAATTTGCAGTCTGTTGAAAAGACATTAATTGTAGCAGTGCTCATTCCCATTCGACTCATTGTAGCAGCAATAATTGAAATTAGTGCTCAAGACCAACTTCTATTTCACGCTCTCTCGATCATGTTATTTATTTATTTATTTATTTTAATACTATAATATTCAATTAAAGTAAGTCGAAACTCCAACTGTATATTGAAAGCTTCTAGGTCAACAACCACTTTACCCAAACCTTATCAAGATATGGCACGGAGGCGTGAAATTCAAAAATAGCCAGATTTATAAGTTTGTAACTGAAAAATAGCTACAGATTCAAAAGTAATCAAAATTTAGTCACTTTTTATATAAAGATAAATCTGAACGAAAACACTGTTTTGAAATCCGAAAAATATTCCAGCATAATATATTGGAGTTCGAATTTTTTACATGTAAACTTCCAGCATGATATACTGGTCTAGCATAATACGCTGGAAGTTCATATACAGGTGATCCAATCTCCAGTTCCAGCAAAATAGTGGTTATTTTTTAATAACTTTGCAAACGCTGACTATTTTTCAATTACCAGTCCAAAAACTGGCTAGCCCGTACTAATGGACCGGTAGGAGTCAGATGGGGGCATTTGCATCTATACCCGCTTTTTAGGTCACGTTTTAACTTGTGCCCGCTTTGCAAAAAAAATTGCAAGCGTACCCACTTTTTCGCGTAACTTCAGCATACAGGGCTGAAGTAGCAAAGGCAATCACGCAAAACTTCAGCATTCTAGTAGACGGGGCTGAAGTTTTTTGTCCTGGATAGATGCTGAAGTATTAGTTCATTTGTAAATACTTCTAGCACTAAATAGCTGAAGTTTTTTGTCCTGGATTTCATTAGTNTCAAAAACTTTAGCAGAAGATGCTGAAGTTATTTAGTTCATTTGTAAAAACTTCAGTACTATATAAGCTGAAGTTTTTTTTTGTCCCGGATTCATTAGTTTTGTCATAAAACTTTTCTAAAAACTTCAGCAGAAGATGCTGAAGTTATTTAGTTCATTTGTAAAAACTTCAGCACTAAAATAGCTGAAGTTTTTTTTGTCCTGGATTCATTAGTTTTGTCATAAAACATTTTCAAAAACTTCACCAGAAGATGCTGAAGTTATTTAGTTCATTTGTAAAAAGTTCAGCACTAAATAAGCTGAAGTTTTTTTTTAACTGGATAAGCTTTTTCAAAAATTTCAGCAGAAAATGCTGAAGTTATTTAGTTCGTTTGTAAAAACTTCGGCACTATATAAGCTGAAGTTTTTTTTGTCCTAGATTCATTAGTTTTGTCATAAAGCTTTTTCTAAAACTTCAGCAGAAGATGCTGGCGTTATTTAGTTCATTTGTAAAAACTTCAGCACTATATAAGCTGAAGTTTTTGAAAAAGCTTTCTAACATACTAGATAAATAATCACCTTATTCTTTCATAGTGTATTACTACTATAAAATAACCAGAGTGCCAACAATATCTAAATCATAAATTTTGGAAATAATAAACGTAAAAAGAACAGAATTACGTGGAAATATTCACAATTATTATCTACTAACTTACGTAATTATTTATAATTTATTTTTAAATAATCTAATAAACATACTTATGGCAATCATCACATGAACTGAAGTTTCATAGCAGCAC